CAATGTTACTATGACAGAGAGCCCATTACTTTATAGCTTTCTCATCGATTCAACAAAAAAAAATCATGAGCTAGGCTCGAATTTATGAAGTTTTATGAGGGCTGCTTTTATCCTCTGTGTTATCTGCGATGAAATTAATTACTGCCGTGAGATCTAAGTCAAATTAGAAGTCTAAAAAAGCAATCCATATTTCGACAGGTCTCGACCTCGCCTCGACGAGATGTTTCCACAATTTATTAAAAATCTCGACTATAATTTAAAGTTATAACACTAAGCTCAATGACAAATGTCTTTTTACTAGACAACTAATTTTTTACACAGATTTTTTAACAAAACAAGAAAACCGCTGAGTCGAAAAAAAAATAGAAAAAAAAACTTGAAAATGTCGAAAAAACGAATCTATCAAAATGAAAAAATCTCTTAAAAACAAAAAAAATGCAAAGCCAAAACAGCGTGAAATTATCATCGGAAGAAAACTTATCCAGCGGCGGTGATATATTACAATAGGTGGTAGGTTCAATTTGAATAGCTGGATCGCTTTTTGTTATACTTCGCACATTACTTATATTTGGTTTCGAAAGCCAAATTTTCTGGCAAAAGAAGTATAAATTTTGAATAGCATTTCATCTGTCAGAGTAAAGTATTCATAAAAACTATCTTAGTACTAGTATAATTGATTGAAAATGAAAACACTTTATTATGCCTTATAGTTCTAAAATTTAATACATGCACTACACTCAAAATTATCACCTATTGTAACATATCAGCCAAGCGGCAACAAAGTCTAAAATACCGAAACCGTTGAGCCTAAAAAGTTCAAAAAGACTTCCAAAATTTTGTTCTTATATTTTGTTTCAAAAGCCAAATTTTCTGGCAAAAGCAGTGTAAATTTTGAATAGCATTTCATCTGTCAAAGTAATGTATTCACAAAAACTATCAGTACTAATATAATTGATTGAAAATGAAAACACTTAATTCTGCCTTATAGTTCTAAAATTTAATACATGCACTCCACTCAAAATTACCACCTATAGTAAAAAATCACCCAAGCGGCCACAAAGTCTAAAATACCGAAACAGTTCAAAAAAACTTCCAAAAAATTATTGAGTTACCTTCACCAAGAGGCCACTAAGACGATATTATAAAAGTCGAAACCTACCATGCCTGAAAAAAAAGGCAAAAAAATCTCGAAAAAATGACTAATTCCCGCTCTCCATCAGAACAAAGTGCGCACAAAAACTTTTTCCGCTCGTCGAACGAAGCAATACCAGGCAACTAACCCGATATAATACAAGCTGAAAGCTATCAAGCACAAAAAATGCGCAAAAGAAAATTTTTTTTTAAAATCGAGTTGGTAAAATCACAACCAACATAAAAATCTAATTTCGAAAAAGAAAGATGCTTAAAAAGCTAACATGCGCAAAACATACCTGTAGCAGTAAATTTGTTTCTAACAGGCTTCCAGAAAATGAGTCCAGTGAACAAAGTTATTTACGGAAAGAAAAGTCTAGTACTATGTTCGCGAAGCCAATCAATGCAATGGCTAATCCAATCAATTCACTGTAGTCCCATGAGGGTATATGTGACTCATGCTGCCAAAAAATGATTGTTCAACATCATATCCAGTGCAGAAAAGTTTTAAAGCACATATATATCTTCTAAGTGTCTAAGCCTAAAATTACAATCATTTTGCAGCCTGCCGACCCAAAGGGTGCCCCCTTTGTAGTAATTTGAGATATCCATTTTTGTGACTGACCCTAAAACTTTTCTATAGATGCCTTTGGCGCGAATATATACTAATTTTGAAGGGGGAGCGCGCGCAAAAAAAAACGCAATTTTTTGGTCAAAATTTCCCAAAAAGTGCCTAAAAACACCTTTTTGGCCTGTTTTTTCATAAATTTGCCTGCGGCGCAAAAAATTTGGTCAAAATGGGGTCTTTATAGTGATTTATCAGAGCTCAGATTTCAATTTGGCCGACCTAAAGAAAGGGTGGACAACATTTTCAAAATTTTATGAATATCGAATTTTATGAACCCCCCCCCCCCTCGAGAAAATCCTAGATTCGCCCCAGTATTAAACGACTATATAGCAACACAATCCGCGACCGCGATTAATCCACTGAATTTTTTTAAAACTTACGTGAAACCTCCCCAGAAGATGACGAATTTTGGTTGTCATTCGAACATAACTCGAGAAAGACGGCTTCCAAATTAGCCAGACCTTTTTCTTTTATCAAATGTTCTGGTTCCCCTTCAGACAAAAGAACTCCCTGGCGCATCAGTCCCACCCTGTTAGCTTGGCGGGCCTCTTCAATGTAGTGTGTAGTTATGAGGATAGTAGTTTCGTTATTAACTGATAAATCAACTAGATGTCTCCAAATCTTCGCTCGCAACAAAGGATCAACACCTACAGTCGGCTCGTCTAAGATTAATAACTTTGGGTCATGAACCAACGCAGCAGCAAATGAAACTCGTCGCCTTTGGCCTCCGCTTAATTTTTCCACCATTCGATAAGAAGCAGGTAGGTCTAAAAGCTCAGACAAGAAACTCAAGCGACGCCTTATATCAGACCCTGCCATCCCATTGATTTTGCCGTAAAAGTAGAGGATCTCTTTAATCGTGAAGTTCGGGTGGAGAGCGAGGTCTTGCGGCATGTAACCGACATCTTTTCCTGGTACTGCGACAACATCTAAATCACTGCTGGGACTGTCTTTTCCGAAAACGGTTATTCTGCCAGACTGCAATTGGAGGCTCCCTGGAATATTGCACTATTTAACACTACATAGAGGCGCCCTTAGCAAACAGTTTTTGACAAAACATTTATAA